TAAATAAGTTTTACTTCTTTATCTTTGCTTTCAAGATTTTTGAAGGCGAACCTGTCACGATAACATCACAATCAGAGGCGGAACACTAGGAACATATGCTTCAAGGTGTGCTCGATCGAGGGAACAATCGCAAAGTATGATCTTAATACACAGAGCAAATTAATCTAACATTCTTTGTTCTATGTCACATGAAATTTGCTTTGTTTTTAGTTATAGTATTCACAAAGAGAATAAACTCTTTAAGTCATATTTGTTCATTTTATGCAACGAAAATTGAAACAAATTCAGCGTGGACCTTTAGACCCAACTAACTTCAATGTAAGTTTTCTTTTTTCACGAGCAGTAACTCTAAATCCTAAAATAAAAACATGTTCTTTGATTTGGCTGACTTGCTTCATTTTTGTGGTTAAAAAGATGCGGAAGTTTTTTCATAGAGAGAGTTCAAATGCTGATGGGTTTCCAACAACTGATTCGACAGATTGGTTCTAGCAAAGGAAAACACATCCCATTTCAGAATTTCATGGATTCCACGTCGCTGCTCTCCCTGATGTACTTTTCATAAATCCTTTAAAAAACAATTAACTGGTTAAACATTATCGAACAAAAGAAGAAGAACATAATAAAAGATAAACAAAACCTACTCTTGTTGAGGTAATTTTTCTAATAAATTGATAAAATATTGATTAAATAAACCAGAAGAGAAAGTAAAAAGCCCAAATAATCCTTTTCTATGCTTAGAATTTTGGACTACAGGAACAATCCACAATCAGTCCTTGAATGCTTAGCTGGTTCATCTGTGTATTCTTCTCTGGAGAATGTCAATGGATTGACCCTTGCTGATCAAATTGGGTTGAACAATGAGAGCAATGAAATGGACGAGGATGATGAGTTTAATCAAGTTCATACCACAACATCTCAGTTGCTTGAAACTTATACTATTGCAACACCTGCAATTCAGGCTCCGGCTATCTCAAGCCCGTATAAAATGAAGCAGGTAAAGTCTCTCATTCCATGCAAGTATATATACAATATATTTTATGTGTTCTATACTATGTATACAGTATATAAATGTATATGTTATATGTACTATATCTGGTCGGGTAGGATTGGGTTGAACCCACCTAGACCTGACTCAACCCACTTTGCTATGAATGGACTGCAACTATACAAGTTGAGTCCACTCTCGAGATCCATTCCCGGACTAGGGTAGATAGATCAGTCGGGTCAATGGGTCGACCTAACCTGATTGCCAACCCTAGTCCAAAAACTCAAAATGATGCAGGACGAATACACCGGGATAGATTGCCACCTCTAGTAGAAATATTCAACACGATGCAGGAGAGAGAGAGGCACCCACATACCGAATTACCACATTGTGGTTTCCAATCCACACCTTCATAAAGCTAACTCCAAATTTATTCTAAATTACTAAAAGAAAAGGTACGCAGTCTATTGTTGAATGAAATATTTAGCCAATTACAAAAGGAAAAGGTATATGGTCTATTGTTTAAAGAAATATTTACCAATGTTGGAGAGAAAGAAGAGAATGGTCCCCAGGCAAAGGTGCTTTGGGTAGTGGGTGCAACAATGTGTCTTCTATAGTATTATTCTTAACAAGATCCCAAGCTAAAATATAGAACAAAAAATAGTTCAAGAAATTGTGGCCCATAAATGGGAAAAAAAAGTTGGAAACATTGTGGCCCACCAATGGAGGAAAAAGGTTGGTGAAATTGTGGCCCTCCAATGGGGTCATATCGTGCTCATGGGGACTCAATCAGCCTCAAGGCCATTCCATTGCATGTTAATGAAACAATGGACTAGGAATGAGCTCAAGGCTAGGTGGGCAGGGTAGCATGGTGCCACAACATGATGTTTTAAGTTTCAATCCTCTCTCCCTTTCAACTAAAAAAAATAAAAGAAGAAAAAAAAAAAAACAAATGGACTATGCTTCTTTCCTAGTAATTGTAGTACGCTCCCCCTCTTTAAAACCTATTTCTTCAAACTATACCCTTAATCCACTACTAAGAGCTCAAATGGGCCTCTACAGTTCTATAACACACGGTGTATTAAATTCTAGGTAGTTATAAATGTTTTCTCCTTTATTCAGGCTCTAACATGCCTCTTAAGCAACACAACCAGCCCTCTTCAATTGCTCCTCCATTCTCCAACACCCAATGAATTCTTTCATTTTCAGAGTATTTACATCATTGACAACTGACTCATGCTCACCCCCATTCAAATCGACCAATCTTCCGAAAGGAGAATTTTCACACCTCTCAATCTGGAGTTTTATTAAGTCCTACTTCATTGTTTTTATCATTATTAATATGGTTATCCCTATCCAAAAAAAAGGAAGAAGAAAAAGGTACGCGATTGGGGATATAGGCCCTACGTTTTGATGAGAATGGATTCCGAGATTTCATCACAGGACTTAGTGGTACTACCGTGAAGGCCCTAACCCATTCTCCATTGTGAGACTATGTTAGGCAACAATTAAGAATTGGACACATGTCTTGACTAAAAGAGGACCGTATCCCTAGATATAATGTAGGATAGGCCTCCTAAAAATAGAGGGAGCTTAGGGCTAGGTTATTTCTTGTCTTAGACATATTTCATAGAGAGATGCAGGGAAGAGGGAGAGATAGAGGTATGTGGATAGAATATTTAAAAAAAAAGATAGAGATTCGTTGAGAGAGAGAGAGAGAAATTATTTTCCTAGACGAAAATAAGTTTGTTAGAAAGAGAGATAGAGGTGCATGAATTAAAGAGCGAAGAACTACTTTTCAAGATTTTTTGAAACATCGTGCAATGTGCATGTTTAGAGAGACTAATTGCAAAAACGAACACTCAATTAGTTACTTTAGTGCCATAGGGTATGTTTTGATACACTCGTTAATTCAACATTTTAATAAAATTAACCATGATAACTAGTGGTTTGATAGTGTCCATCATAAAATTATTTTCAATAAACTTATAAACAGGTTTCACATATAAATTTATCTTTTCAAAAAGTAATGTTTACTTTACTCGGTGTGGTTTGGTCCATTGCTATTTATCTAGGGCTGGGAGTAAATAAAAAGAGCTCACTCTATCAAAATAATCACTAATATATTATAATATAAGATGTGTACTAGCAATTAACAAAATAATGTTATACAAACTATATTAATCTTAATTAAGGTAATGTACTTTAACTGCCATCAAAATAAGCCCTTAATATGTAATTTGAGCCGATCCCTAGTTTATATTTTAGAATTTCCATTCAATTAATTAGGTACACCAAATTAATTCTAAGTGAAGTTTTATTCAAGGAAGTAGAAAATCCTTTCACATTGTTGAAATGAAAGGAGAAGTTTATCTAAAATTGAGGCTCTAAACAATGAAATTAAGGCGCACTAAAAAAATTCGAGAAGATGTTGCTTTGATATTCAAATATATTCAAATTGATCATCTCGTATGGAAATGAGAAAAAATCAAAGGGTATGGAAACGAAAAAAGAAAAGATTTTGAATCTTGAAAATAACTCATGTTGCATTGTGTTTTTTTTTTTGAACCGTCGATTTTCAAGATTTTCAAAGTGTTCATCGATTAAGCCCTGCCGTCCACTCACAAAGCGTCCCTCGCTACACTCTCTCAACCCTTTGCAACGTCTCTCACAGGGGGGATCCATTTCCAAGCCTCATAAAATACACCTCATCTTCTTCAAGAGAGGATCCATTTTCAACTTTCATTTTCTTCAACATGGTAAGGGTTTTTTTTTTTGGTTGGTGTTCTTTTATTTTTATTTTTTTGCTAGTTTTTTTCTATCATAGTGTAAAGATTCTTCACCAAACAAGGTAGGATTTCGCTCATACGAACCCCCATATAAAATACCTCAACTTCTTCAACAAGGTGTGAATTCTATTCTTGTGATTTTCCTCTTTTTTCCCTCTAGATGGTGCTGGTTTTTTTAATTACCAATGCGAACCTTTTTTTTTTCTATGATTTCCCATGGAAATTTATGGTTTTTTTATTTTTGGCTTATTTTATTGAGTATAGAAGCACCATTTTCTCTGTAGAAAATGTGGGTGTGGCGTTTTTTTTTTTGTATTTTTCCTCTTTTATATCTTACTGGTTTTTTCTTGTTGTATAGAAGCCATTTATGATTTTTACAGTGGGGCTTGTTCATTGTCATGAAATTGCACAATTAGTTTGTTGAATTTTTTTTGTTTTTTCAAATTTGTCCTAAAACTAGAAATATTCTACTCAGATGTTTCCTGAGTATTTTTTTGGTCTCCTCAATCCCTTGAAAAGATAAATATCATGGTATTTGTATGCGCAACCCAGATATTGAAATCATAATTACAGAATGCCTACTCTTGTTGGAAGTTTAAATATAGTGAGACATGATTGTGTGTATGTGAAGTTTAAATATAGGGCGCAGTTAGCATAAGGCATTATGTGATTTTTATAGTGGGGCTTGTTCATTATCGTTAAATTGCACGATGAAAACTGGCTTGTTCATTATCGTGAAATTGCACAATGAAAACTGTTTTACATATGAAAACTGTTACGCAGGAACCCAATGAGCCCTAAAAGAAGGGAAATTCGGAACTTAAACATTCCCAACTACAGTATTTCGTTGAGTAAAGTGGGACCCCACAGTTTAAAGTTTCATATATATGGTCTAACTGATCTTTACATATCTCTTTCTGTCCATGTGATGTCTAATGTCATTTACCGTAATGCACCGGGTTGTGCTAGTGACAAAATGTAAAGCATTTTTTTCTTATTGATACATGCTGAGTTATTCTTCTTGTGATTTTTCCAGTTTGGGTTACATTTGTGTACATTTTCTTTGTTCTAAGCTCCATGTTAGGGCTGTGATGCCTGCTGTCAACAAGTGCTCCCCTCCCTGATACACGTGAGCTACTAATGGGGCTTGTTGTGGGTATAACTCCTTGGCCTCCGTCCTTAGACGCATTTCTGGATCTCATCTTAAACAAAGGTTCTCTCCAACTATGAAAAAGGAAGGTTCTTTCTAACCATATTTTGCTCTTATGCAGAAGGCTTTTCAAAATTCATACTGTCGATTTGTATTCATTCACTTGGGGATACTGTCTTTCTGAAAGTATCCTCATTCTCCCATGAGTTATTATGGCCAGTCTTGAATTTTGAGCTATGACATTTCCTTTTTATTTTTGATGTGAGGAAGAATCCTGAAGCCATTGTACTCTAGTACTCCATATTCCAACTAAACCCTTGATTGAGGATTCATGGAAAAGTGGCTATGTCTTTAGCATTCTGATTTCTGCCTTTTGCGATTAATCTAGGCTGCCCAGATCATTTACTACTCCTACTGCTTTGTCTGGAGCTTCTGAATCACTTGTTTATACCCACCAATAAACTTTTTCCTTGCATAATATGGAGGTTCTCAAAAAAGTCGTTATTACTCATCTCTTGCATATAGTCCAATGATTTATCGATCTTGTTGGATCTAGGCTATGTTACAAGGACATGGATGCAAGTGTCAGCATCCAACATCGACACAGAAATGCAAACTTAAAATGGCCATTCAAACATGACACACTCATAGATCATTTTAGAAGGAGTGGGATGGGGGAGTTTTAAGTGACATTTTAAGATTTTCATAGTAAAATCTTAACAGAAAAAGTGAAGCAAAACTGTCCCAGTTTTAAAGGTGTCAGATATACGTGTTGTGCACTTGCTTCGACATATGCCCAAAACCTTGGAGATGCATGCAATTTACAGGGGATCAAAGTGTTCAGCTGCATAATTGAAACTATCTTTAGAAACTCTATTTGAAAAGTCCTGAAGTACGAGGTTTTCCAATTTTTACTTCTTTGGAATCTGTCATATCCATTCAGGAGTGGCTGCGTTGGTTGTTTGTGCTGCGAGATATGGTGAAGGGACGGGCCGAAAAGTATCTCATTGCTTCTGCCCTCTCCTCGTGATTATACGTTGTTGAAGTCCCTGATGATATAGTACAGCCCGATTCACTGTCCTGTTATCTTTGTCATTCCCAGGTTTCGCTCAAAAGTCTTGTATTTATTTGGATCAGACTTCTGAACAGTTAATGGAGATGTATTCTTATCCATGTGTCTATGATCTTCAGCGTAGACTTCTTTTCTGGTGTGCTAGGAAATGTTGATATCTGAACCATGTAACAGAGTCAGAGCAGTAATTGGTCTAGGCCACTTACTTGATATCTTTCCTTTTATATTCTATTTTCTCTTGATATGAACAAGAAGAATTGAAAAAGTTACACTCGATTTTAAAGTTTGTTGTTGTCATCAAGGTTGTTATGATCATGAGATCATCATTGTCATCATGATCATAATCATAATCACAATCATCATTATTTTTAACATTGTTGTTGTTGTTGTTTTCCTTTATTAGTATTGTTTTATGAAAGTTATTGGCATATTGATTTACCTGCATTTTTATCTCTGATGGATTTCAGATTTGTGATAAGTTATTAACATGCTTTCGAAATGGAAGAAGCTTTTGGTTTGTTCTGCTGTGACGTGCTTATTCCACTTCTTTTGTTGGTCAGGATTTAATGTGGAGATGCTCGAGTATAAGAACATTAGCTTCACTGTTTGAGATGTTGGTGGTCAGGACAAGGTATTGAGATCATATTTTTTTTTTCTAATTTTTGGGTGGAGGGTTGGATTTCATCATCTCGTGATGTCTTCTGAATAATAACTTCTCATTATCCATCTTACCGTTTTTACCCAAATGAACCACTATTTACCATTACCTATCTTACCACTATTTACCATACCCACCTTATCCCGATATAGAAAATATTTCAAATTAACCATTATTTACCATTACTCATCTTACCTAGGGAATTTTATGTAAAATTATCGAATCTACTTTTTGGTCCAGAAGTTTGGTAATTTTACAGTGAGGTCTTATTCGCTTGACTTTTATTATTTTTTTTAATTTTATGGCCGATTCATTTCAACCATCGAACAACTTATTTTTTATTTTTTGTTTTTCTGACATTTAAGGGGCAGTCCTATGTCTAACTTAGTGAAGCGCCCCATTTGTAGGGCTGTCCAATAACTGCAATATCAGACTTCTTTATAGGGTGGTCTGATGTTACAAAACATCTGATTGCCATTTTCATAGTTTTTTATATTTTAGCAAATCTTTTAAACAGTCTGAAATTCAAAAGCTTGGACCTTAAAAAAGGACTATAAAAAGGGCAACCAATGTTTGTAACATCGGACCGCCCCATAGATGCCAAAAATATGGCTGTCCGATGTTGCAGTAATCAGACCACCCCATAGGGCATCCATTGGTTTCTCTCTCATCATTTCTCAATTCTCTCTCTCTCTCTAATCATCTGTAGTTTTTTCCCCAATCTTCTCTCTATCTTGCTGTTCACAGGTACTTGTTTCAGGGTTTCATTTTAAACAGGCTTTAGGGTTTATGAGAGGTTTTTATTTATTTCCTTCTACTGTTGTTGGTTGGTCTCTTTAAATCATTTATGATCGTCATGGAAGTTCTAGCCAGCATTTTTCTAGGTCTTCTACTTCCAGGAAAAATGGTGGAAATTAGGGTAAATAATAGTTTCTTCATTTGGTAAGGTGTTGGGCACCCCTGAATCCCATTAATTGAAGAATTCTGTGTTTTGTATTTGTTAATAATCAGAGAAATTGCTACAGAGTGTTCTGTTAACACCAGGTTACACAATATTAACAAAGTTATTTGCTCTGTTAATTATCTGATTATTACTCTCCCATATATGTTGGATATATTCCTAAATAGTCAAATTTAGACAAATTTATTCGTTCACACCATTATCATTTGTTTGTTAGGAAAGAAAATAGTTTGCTGGGTTTGTTCCTCAAAATACATTTGCTTCTTCTTTATTCATCTTTCCTGTAAGACTTAATCTTTGGGAAGATGAAAGTGTGTGGAGATTGTTCTCCTAAAGCCATTTTTTATTTGAAAGTTTACCTTTTTGAGAAAGAAAATGGAGCTCTGGGTTCGTTCCTGCATTCCCAGTTGTTTCTTTTGAAGTCAAACCTTTTTTCAGAATTATATGTTATTTAGTGTTTGTGCCCTAAGAGGCTGTTTTTCTTCTTTGAGTCTTAATTCCAATAGATTTATGTTCCTGTCAAGACCCCATCTTTTTTTTTGTGAGTGTGTGTGTGTGAGTGTGTGTGTGTGTGTGTGTGAGAGAGAGAGAGAGAGAGAGAGGAGGAC